TTATTATACTGTTCAACACTTTACAACTAGGCTCCCTTTAATTACTGTGAATATGTATAATGTGGTAATACAGTACAATAAAACATGCTTTTTCAATAAATTATTGTGCTTACAAGGTAGTAAACTAGTCTAAAATGTTTAATAAGCACCTTTAGATGTGATAAATACATGAACAGATTTGGCTCACTTTTTAGCAAGAAATCGGACAGTTTTGTCTCTTTCCCGTCCTTAATTAATGAATAATTAACACTTATAAATGGTTTATAAAGTGTTTACAGATGAATTAATAACCTATTTATAAACTATTTATAAGCCACATAAGGGGGGCCATATTGTAAAGTGGTACCAAAATAATAATAATTAAAGGCACAAAACAATGAAAACTCTCTGCCTCGTTTTGTTGTGGCCAAGCTGAGGCGTCTTCGTCCTCGTCCCGCCAAGCCTGTAAATTGAGTCCATTTGGCCTATCTTCATTTGTCCTCAGCCAAAACACAGTGAAACGTCTACACCTCCTCATGTTGCCATCACTGATTTTAAATCATCAGCTCCAACTGACTCGTTTGGAACATCGTCCGAGCAAGTTCTAAGGAGCCACCCAATGGAAAGACTATGAACCCGTGGTGGGCTGACCTGGGTTGGGCCGAGTCAAGCTCATGCAAAAGGACCAATAGTGTTCCTCTTGTGAGCATTTTTCCCCTTTAACTTCATATAAGCTGAAGAATAATGGCTTTCAACGCAGAAGGTGCCTCTTGTAGTTCTCACTTTAGCACTTGAGTTCTGTCTTTTGCCTTTCTCGTGGCATTATTAACAATAATACATTTTTGATATTTTAATATTTCGGAATCATAAATGCATCGAAGAATAGATTAGAACCCCAATCCCTAAGAGATACACTTCTTTACGGTATTCATCCGGCCCACCTCCTTTTGTTTGCCACACACCTCTATAAGTGGTGCAAATTGACCATTTTCGTCTGCTCCTCCACTTCATTTTTATTTTAAATAAACAGACCACAGCTGGGATCTCACCCTAAATTAGTGTGCGAGATTCACAAGTGTGAAAAAAAAATCTTTGAACGCTTTTATAATTTCTTTTTATCTTTGCAGCACCCATGCACACTAACTGAAGACAGCAATATTTTTGGGGTTGTTCTTTTGGGGGGGGGGTTCACATTCTTTTAATCTAAACATGCATCGAACTCATTATGCTGAATAAAAACCTGTAAATGAACCTCTTTAAAACGTGACTAAAAAAATAAAACAGGCACACTTTTTAACCTTGGAAAAATCTGAGTTCATCTACTGTATTACCAAAGATACAAAAATCACTCACAACTGCCCTTCATTTTCATTTTGATTGGGAGCATGTTGGTCCGTGTTGGCCTCCTAATATTCACAGCTTCAACAGATTCAGCATACAGTATTTGGCAGCCTGCTCTTCATATTTTGCTTTGCAGATGCAGATAAACACTCATCTTATGTGCATTCTTAAAAGAGAGAGAGACAAAGGATATGGCTCCATTCTCTTCGATGCTGCTGACGTACAAAGCAGCCGAGGTGCTCTTCTATTTATCTGAGCACTGTTACAGAGTAAAAGAGCCTTTGCAGTTTTTTTTTTTT